CTTGAACGACCGGTGGCCTTGGAGCGCGCTGGCGCGGTTTTTATTTCGTTTCTAGCTCGCTCTCTCTCTTTCTCTCGCACGCTCCGACCTGCCTGCCGGAGCCGGTCACCCGCCCACCCTCTCTTTTCAATGCGTGTATATAAATGTTCTTTGTTCGGCCGTTCACGATTTCTAGAGATGAGGTTGGCAATGCCGGTTACCGGTAGCTAAACCATGGTCGGAGGGGCCGGCCGCGCCATTGGGTTTTTATAAAACGGGTGGTGGGGGCCGCCGTAACATCCGTCGTCACCGTCGTCGTCGTCGTTCGGCTAGTGGCGGGCAACACGCAGGTCTGCCTCGTTATTTTTCTCCTTCTCTCCGCCTTTTCCACCGCAGTTTTAACCGTCGGTCGCGCGTTTACAGTGAGATATATACACACGCATCCGTCGCGTTCCCTTTGTTTTTTTTTCTTATTCTCGTGTTGTGTGGTGCACCATTATATATATATTCTTTTTCGCCCCGCTACACACTCGTTACGTACGTAACCGAATATATACATACACGCACACGCTGTACACGTAACGTGTGTGCGCCGCGTTCGTACCATCATCACAACACATACACGCATCGATACGCGCGTGTACGTTATATATATATACATACGTCCGTACGTAAACTAAACACCGCCGCCGACCGTACACACGCGATCACAGTGCTGCAGTGTACGTGCGTGTGCGCGTGACGTCTGGTGTCCGATCGTATCGTGAGAAAAGCGTAGTGCACTCGCAGTCCGGCGGCATGTCCGAAAACCGCGCGGGCAACAATGTTGGCTGGGGCAACCGGGACGACCACGCGGCCGCTGCCGCCAACCTATGGTGGGGCAACAGCCAGGATCAGCAGCAGCAGCAACAGCACATGCAGCAGCAGCAGCAGCAACAGCAGCAACAACAGCAACAGCAGCAGCAGCATTTACTGAACCAGCACCATCAGCAGCAACTAGCCGCCGTGGCGGCTGCCGCTCAGCAGCAGCAGCAGCAGGCGGCCGCCGCGGTGTCCGCGGCCCAACAGTTCTATAAGATGGCGTCCACGTTCAGCCATCAGCAGCACCAACAGCTGCAGCAGCAGCAACAGCAACAGCAGCTCGGTAACTCCGGCGTGTCGACCAGTAACAGCAACGTGTCGACGACGGTGACCAGCAGCTCCAGAAATCCAATGGCCAACTACGCGGACAGTTACGGTATTGCGGCGGCCGCAGCTGCACAATGGTGGTCGTATCCGGGAGCCATGGACAACAATATTCAAAACGTACACAACGTACCGTCGCCAAACTCGATCATGGTAATTCGTGTTAAATATCTGTGCGTGTGTGCGGGCGCGTGTGAATGTGATAACAACCACGACGCGGTACACACATACTCGATGTAGTATTAGGTTAATCGTATGTTTTAACCATTTTGAGCTTCGAACAGTTGTATTTTATGATTTTTCATACCGATATGATATGTTTGAGTTGATGCACAAGTGTTTTTTCACGCCATTCTCGTGTCCGTTTCCGGTCGGAGTTTGGCGTTCGTCGATAATCGGTGAGCGTTGTTGCCGTGTACTCTGCTGCGGCGGCTACTGCATGGGTACTTGCTCTCCGGCCGGCCGGCCGTCGGTCCGTTTTTTTATCATTATTATTTTATATTTTAATTAGCGCGCCAGTGTTATGATATTATATCCCAGCAAACTCGTTATTCTAATCATCGTCAACCGCGTGACGCGCGCGCTTCCGAGATGGAGGGCTCACCTCCACCACACCACCTTATCATACTTTTTGTTGTGTGTATCCGTTTTCATTCACGTGTCTTTTTCGATCTCCGTTTTGCGTCGTTGCCTATGTGGTTTTGTCAAGATCCGATTTTTTTCCGTTTTCTCTATTTTCCACATAATACAATACCACCAGTAGATCGTTTACGAAACCATCTCTTGATCCGCGTTGAACATTTTGCTGGCCAGTTGTACAATGTTTTCGTTCTTGTTTTTCGCGCGCTCCTTTGTCCGTAATCGGTGGCGCGCGCGCTTTAATGTTTCGTGGTCTGTTTGGTTTTCATCGCGATATTAATAAATACTATCTCGTGAGAATCAGCAAAACATTGTACACATTTTTCGTTGCAATTCCAACAGATAAATAAATTTGTCATTGAGTAGATAAATAGAAAGTTATGTGGCCTTAGAACAACACTGTTACTCACGTATTTATAATAAAACTGGGTTCTTGCATTGGAAATGAAATTGATATATGTAGAGTGTGGTCAACACTTCAAATACAGTTTTAGTTTTTTTTTTTTTATTGATCACCTATAAAGAGATAAAAAACCAGTAAAAATTATAGTTTTTTTTCGATGACCTAGCGAAGAACCCTGGAATTTTTGTTCAATAAAATCTTGGAATTTCTACAGCATACGAATTATACTCGGAAGCAGTAATAGGTAGAAGTGATTTCATTCTAAATGCGAGTATTCTAATTTTTCCAAGAAAATAACGTTGCGTCTTTTAAAGATAAATAATAATGCTGTTTAATTTTTTTTTT